TCTGGCAAAGGATTTTTGGCAGTTCTGCCTCTACAACAACGTTTCGGTGACGGCGGAACACATCCCAGGTCTGGACAATTCGGGAGCGGATTGGAATTCCAGACACTTACGGGACTCCGGGGACTGGCATCTACACGCTTCAGTGTTCCAGTGCCTGAACAGGTTGTGGGGCCGGTTCCAGTTGGATCTATTCGCGTCACGCCTGAACACTCAGTTACCGAGGTTCTACAGTTGGAGGCCGGACCCGGCTGCAATAGCAACAGATGCCTTTCTCCAAGAATGGCCACCGGGTCTGATGTACGCCTTTCCCCCATTCAACATGATCGCACGCACGATCTCGAAACTGGTCCGCCACGATTGTCGGATGGCTTTGATCACCCCTCTATGGAGGTCTCGCCCATGGTTCCCTCGGCTGATGGAACTGTCCATAGACTACCCTCATTTGCTTCCGGTATTCCAAGACCTCCTTCTGGATCCGGATGGGAACTCTCACGACCTGGTGTTGCAACATCACCTGCCCCTTATAGCGTGGTTCCTTTCAGGGGACCTTGGGTTATCCCAGACGTTTCGCAGTCAACTCTCCGACTCCTCGATAACGCCTGGGCCCCGGGTACACGGACAGCTTACCGACATTCATGGAGATCATGGTCTGGTTGGTGCATGGAACGGGCAATGGATCCCGTATCTGCCCCTCTACCTTTCATTCTGGAGTTCCTATTTGATTCGGGCAAGGCATACCGCACGATCAACCTTTTCCGCTCAGCTATCTCAGCCGGTCACGAAGGTCTGGACGGTTCTCCGGTTGGCAAGCATCCTTTTGTCTGTCGACTTCTCAAAGGTATTCGCCTTGCTCGTCCTCCTCGACCTCGTTTTGCTGCCTTTTGGGACGTTAACGTGATGCTACAGTTCCTATCGTCATGGTACCCCAATCTGGAGCTGACTCTCAAACAATTGTCTGCCAAATTGGTTATGTTACTGTGCCTGATTTCTTGCAGAAGAGTCTCTGACGTTCGGGCCCTGGACTGGGACGCCGTTGCATTCACCCCAGAAGGCGTCACCTTTGACATTTCCAGGAGGACCAAGTCTGCGTCTAAGTCACTTACATACACTAGGTTTTCAGACTGTCCAGCGCTCTGCCCGGTGGATTACATCAAGGACTATCTGGATGTTACACGTCCCCTTCGCATAACAGACCTGCACGATCTGTTCATATCCTTTAAATCACCTCACCGGCCGGTTTCGACTCCTACTCTAGCACGTTGGGTGCGCTGGCTGCTATCCTCCGCGGGTATAGACACCTCAGTATTTACGCCTCATTCTGTAATGGCGATGGCCTTGAAAGCCTCTTCAGTCGGATGTCGCCTAGAGGACATTATGCGAGCGGCGGATTGGTCTCGGGAATCGACCTTCCGAGCCTTCTACTTCAGACCAATTGAGCACATCGCATCTCGTGTGGTGGCGCAGCTTTGAACTTGCATAATATGAGCCTCCGTGTCTTTAATAAAATTCCCAGATTTTACTAGTAACATGACGTAAAGTCATGATTTTATTAAAGACACGGAGGCGAGTATTATTCCCTCCCACCCTCCCGGAGTGGAGTTGGGATAAGATATGCTTGGTGGCTCTACAGGTATGTTTTTCCAGTTTGGTCTGTATTCTATCAGTTTGATTTGCATCTTTTGTACGGGTTGTTGTACCTTTATGTTGTGTTCTAATTCTGATGTTTTATATTTCAGAACTCTGTTTTACCTGTGTCTCCCCAAGACTATGTTTGGTAAGTTTGCAGTTATGAATTAAGAAATGACCATATTTCTCTATCTTTTTTAGCTTGAAATTGTCGCATCGTTTCCCGTTACCCTGTTTCGACCAAGTGGGACATTGTTCATCTTACCTGGTCTTCGGTTCGCAAGAAAGAGGGGCATTGTGGGAGACACAAGACTTATATAGCTACTTCCTATATCCTGTGATTGGCTACCTGTTGTGCCTATACAGTTTTTTCTTCAGTTTTGATAATATTTATATTTCTCTTTCTTTGCTGCTGAGGAAATAAAGAAAGAGTTATGCATAATACTCGCCTCCGTGTCTTTAATAAAATCATGACTTTACGTCATGTTACTACCGTGTTTCCCCGAAAATAAACCCTACCCCGAAAATAAGCCCTAGTCGGATTTTCAGGGTGGGCTGCAATATAAGCCCTACCCCGAAAATAAGACCTAGGCATTGTACCTTTGCGGCAAGACTTCCTTCTTCTACTGTAGGAGGAGCGTTGTGAGCCGCGTCATCGCGCAACGTGATGACGACATTTCGCAGCGCCGTCAGTCTGCCTTCACGGATCTTCAGCGGAAGGATCCATTTCCGGGCGGTGAGGCTCCCAGTGGTCGGACTCGGCAAGGAAACTTTGAAATGTGAGTACCGGTAGATATTTTATGTCTGGGACTGAATTAATTAAAGGGGGTGGGGGGTGAATTAATTAAAGGGGGGTGAATTAAAGGGTGGGCTGGATTAATTAGAGGGGGGTGAATTAATTAAAGAGGGGTGAATTAATTAAAGAGGGGTGAATTAATTAAAGGGTGGACTGGATTAATTAGAGGGGGGTGAATTAATTAAAGGGGGGTGAATTAATTAAAGGGTGGGCTGGATTAATTAGAGGGGGTGAATTAATTAAAGGGGTGGTGAATTAATTAAAGGGTGGGCTGGATTAATTAGAGGGGGGTGAATTAATTAAAGGGGTGGTGAATTAATTAAAGGGTGGGCTGGATTAATTAGAGGGGGTGAATTAATTAAAGGGGTGGTGAATTAATTAAAGGGTGGGCTAGATTAATTAGAGGGGGTGAATTAATTAAAGGGGGTGAATTAATTAAAGGGTGGGCTGGATTAATTAGAAGGGGGTGAATTAAAGGGGTGGTGAATTAATTAAAGGGTGGGCTGGATTAATTAGAGGGGGGTGAATTAATTAAAGGGGGTGAATTAATTAAAGGGGGGTGAATTAATTAAAGGGTGGAATGGATTAATTAGAGGGGGTGGATTAATTAGAGGGGGGTGGATTTATTAAAGGGGGGGTGGATTAATTAAAGGGGGGGTTCAATGTACATACCGGTACCATAAATAAATAAGCCCTACCCTGAAAATAAGCCCTAGTGTGTTTTTTGTGACTAAAATTAATATAAGACCCGGTCTTATTTTCAGAGAAACACGGTAGTAAAATCTGGGAATTATGCAATGTAATATCAATGTAACTCCCAAAGATGGCCAGTAGGTGGCCCTAGAGTACCTCCCTAAAATCTAATGAAGCAGATAAACTTTAATGATGTGCTTATTTTATTATTACTTATTTTAATCACTGCTCACCCTGCTAGCTAGGCTTGAGTAAATCTTTAGTTCTAAGGTAAATTAAACATCTCAGTTTGTATTTTAGTAAAAGGGATATTTTGAACAAAGCTGGGAGGGACCCATCCAGTAACTAAAAAAGGGATAAAAGTGTACTCCAGCATCCTATACCATTAATCATTTCTCCCAGTTGTATTTTAGACTGTCACTGAAGACACACAGTATTCAATAGTTTTAGTGCTATTTCAATGATTATGGTACAATGTCATTGCTGAGAATTATCAGATCCAATAGACTCAGTTACTGTTATTAAGAATTCTCCTCACAATTTAACTGTTAATAAAATTCAATGCTAAAATACACTCCTACCAAAAAGGAAGTCAATTTAAATTACAAAAAAACAGTTTGTACAGAAATACAAGAGTTTGAAAGAAAAGAACAGATAGGTATGTGGGTAGGCTGGGGACAATAGAGCAGGGGAGTGCAAATACCAGCTATACCAGTTTTGGGCTACTCTGGCTCTGGAGGATGAATTAGGGGTTGGTAATCAGATGCAAGAGGGGGGGGAGGTGTCCAAAGCAGTTGTAATTAAGGTTTTAGAGGACAAACAGGTTCTGGCTACCATGGACTCCATTGTTCCTCTTAGTACAGTTTGTTCCATTTAGCAGTGTTTCAACAATCTGTTTACAGAAACTACTCGTATAGCCCCAACATATTATTTATAACAATGTAAACCTGCTGCTGTATTAAATCTGGATCAAGGATCCACAGGAACACTGGTTACCAGAAGAGGCCGTCCTCTGCTACACAGAGTATTTTAATCTTTTGGGGGACAGTGTTACACCATAATCACAAACAGCATATTCCTTAGAAAGGGTTTTTGGTTTTTTTTGACACATACAAGACAAAGGACTGTTTGTGAATCAGAAGCATCCATGATTTCAACAGAGCATCTGATTCAAAGCAGTACAAATATACAAACAGTTTCAACAGTCACACCAGTTACCTTAGCAACAGCACCACGTGGCACAGTTACTAGGCCAAACACACACCAAAAACACGAGGAGAATTCTCATACACACACAGCTGTTACACCACACACTAAATAACTATTACTGTACCCTTTTTGGCGAAATTATACAATTACCCACACTATAATTCTCAGTATTTAAATTACCCGTCTATAACACACCCTAGTAACATCGTCTTTACAAACAGTAGTTATAGTACGGTTAGCATTGGTTAGAATACAATTTTAAAGTCACAGGTCAGTTAATAGTAGTTATGGTGTTAAACATACAACATAAACGACAGTTATTAGTGATTATTTACAGTATCAGTGATTATAATACATGGTTATGGTACCGTGCGCTATGATACAGTTACACACTATTCACACTCTCGCTAGACGGCAGAGCTCACGCTACCCAGCAAGATATACACTCTACTATAATAAATTTTAACACATTTACAGTTTCCCAACTAATCTATTGGACAGTACCTCGAGGGACTACCTAAAACTATTTACATCCGTTTTGGTTAGCCGTCGCTGCCCAAGCACCACATATAGCGAACTAGAGGGCAGAATTTACAACAATACCCTTTTAGTCTATCTACTCTATCAATAGTCTAGTGGGTTCCAAATTTACACGCCTTCCCACTTAGCCAAGATAGGTTGAGAACTAGCAAACGATAATGTACACCAGAGTCTGCTTAGTCTCCCGGTCCCTCCGACCTAGCGAACGAAATGTACACCCTAGATACGCAAGTCTAGACAAGACACCGGTGTCCGACTTGGGCTATATACATTCAACCAAGACCCAGCCTGACTCCATACCGAGATTAGACGGGCTGACTACAGGGCGTCTAATTAGAGCGGTGCGCCTTCGCTCCTTCCATCCACTGGAGGGGGCCAATTCCATACACAATTCCAATTCAAACTCCTTATGGGCCTACCGCGCAATCGGTATCCAATACCCCTAGTGGGTCCACCGTCTAAAACAGTAGTCTTACCTCCTCGTTCCTGAACCTGAGTTCACACTCATCGACGGGGACACCACAGCACTTACTACGTAGAGGCCGATGATCTCCTGGACAACAGACCAGTGGCGCCGAGACGAAGGGAGGGCCACGCAGAAGTTCAGGGGTGCAGCCGTAGAGAACGTGGGCAAAGATAGACCGTCTCACACCTCTGCTTCCTAGCCACTGTTAACGACGAGCTTCCCGGCCAATGCACCAAAGATGTTACCGGGAAACTGACGGAGGCCAAGCACAGAGAGATGGACACAGGTTTCTTCAGGAAGGAAGAGATCTTTATTCGATTCACCGACCGGGACTCAGAGGGACTTATGTCACCAAAAACAGCAAAGATCTGAGCACTGAATACATAGAGTACATTCCTTATATAGCACTGTAGCTCCTCCCATAATTAGCTACGCCCACACATACCCTTAACCTAATCAATGAATAGAGTCTAAACTCATCCATCCGGTCTAACCACGTGGCTCATCTGAAACAAAGGAGAGGGACGCTTAATTCCAGTTCCTGCATTCCTGCACATGCTCAGTACAGTGATGACAGTATCTTAGCTACGTGTAACTAACTGTAACGGACCCTTTCACTCAAAAGGGGATAAAATCCGTTTAGGCGATAATCCCCTTTCCATAGACCAGCAGCTACTGCAATCACAAACCTCCCGAACTCCAAACTGTACGAATACCCAACTCACGAACAAGAAATACACGAACTCTGGAAGCAGCCGAACAGGAAAAGCAATACGAACAGCTTACACTCCTGGCAGTCAGCTCACAATCCAATTCCCCCAATAACAAGACGACACTTCGTTTTGAGGGTTAAGCAGAATCTACAGATTTATTCACACAGCCTCCTTTTAAGACATTCTCCCATGCAAGGGAGGGATCCACAACAATTAGTACCCCAGCCAATAATGTACCAGTTACCTCCCACACATCTCCTCCCCTTAGTGTGACACATAATCCCATTAGTACAGACACAAATTCCCTGGGATACTGGATGTACCCCTAAACATAGGAATACCCCTTTAAATGTTACATCCCCTGGTAACCCTGATCTGGGTGAGACACATATCCAAAAATCACCCAGATCGGACCAGGGGTTCAGGAATTATAAAGGGTTAAAGTTTTGACCGACTGCATGGCAAAAGTATCCGAAAATAGTTTCATGTACTTTGGCCCTGCAGTCGGTCACAGAAAAGGGAATGAATCACACGAATTGCCTGGGTTATAGAGCTTGGGGAGGATTCGTATGAATCCCCCTGTTTGTGGGATCCTTTCTACCGAACGCCGGGCCGTTCGGTAGTTCCTGCACGAATTGCTGGAAGTCTGGAGGTCTCAGCGGTGTTTGCTTAGCCGAGTGTCCGATTTTAGTTCCAGACACTCGACGGCAAAACACCGCTGTTCGGGAGTTTAAGATGGCCGCCGCCACGTGTTCGTTTCCCGAATGGCGGCCACCCAGAGGACACAACACACATTACACATATTGCCAATTACCCGTTTGCAACATTGTTGCAAACGGTAATTGGAGGCACACTTACTCCCGGGTGGTCTGGTTGTTCGGTAGTTTCACCCAATATAATGAATGAAGTGATTCTACCGAACAATCAGGGGAATGCTGCATTCACATAACACTTTATACCGAACACATAATATTAAATACAGCCTGAATGCAATTTGCTACACAGTCTTAAAAAGGCATTATTCCTAACAGGCAGAATATGTTCACGGATGGCCCTTAAAGGGCCAGTAGCAGCAATATAAGAATGTCACATGCCCAAATATTGCATACAAAAGTACGAATTCACAAGGGGCCATAGTCAGATGGCAGGAGGCTGGCAACCAGGCTTCTCCAGTGCATAGTGGCGAGGTTGGTTTCGCCACACTAACTAACTGATACTACAAACACATGTACCTACATAGGCCTTGTGGCAATCTTGGCCTGCTAAACTTTTATTTTACTGGAATTCCATCACAATAGCAGTGATGGCAAAACTTTTTGGGTCCAAGTGCCCAAACCGCAATACATGCCAACTTTTTTTCCCTCAAAGTGCCAACACGGCAATTAAACCTGAATACTGAGGTTTAAGTTTAGAAAAAACTACTTGTACAGTTGTCCAAACTAATTAACATAGTCCGCTAAATACACACACACACACAAACATACACACAGTCCGCTGAATACACACACACAGTCTGCTGAATACACATACACTGCTGAATACACACACACACACACACACTGCTGGATACATACACTGCTGAATACATAGACAGACTGCTGAGTACACACACACACAGACTGCTGAATACATACACACAGTCTGCTGAATACATAAAGACTGCTGAATACACACACACACATACTGCATTGAGGGGTGCAGTGTATGTGTTTGTGTGTAAGGGTGTGGAGAGTGGAATGTGTGTGGAGTGCTGTGTGTAAGGTGCTGTGCTGTGTGTGTGTGAGGGGTGCTGTGTGTGTGTGAGGGGTGCTGTGTGTGTGTGTGAGGGGTGCTGTGTGGGGGGGTAGGGGAGCTGTGTGTGTGGGGTAGCTGTGTGGGGGTATAGGGGTGCTGTGTGTGGGGGGTTGGGTGCTGTGTGTGGGGTGTTGGGGTGCTGTGTGGAGGGTAGGGAGATGTGTGATAGGGTGGTGGGGGTATAGGGGTGCTGTGTGTGGGGGGTTTGGGGTGCTGTGTGTGGGGGGCTAGGGGTGGTGTGTGTGGGAGGGGTGCTGTGTATGGGGGGGCAGGGGTGGCGTGTGTGGGGGTGTAGGAGTGCTGTGTGTATGTGGAGGGGTAGGGAAAATACATTAAAAAAAAATCAATAAAAAAAAAAAAAGTATATTAAATCTGTATCCCTCCCTCCCTCCCTTCTTCTTGCCTTTGGTGAAGGGGGGAAAAGGGGGACACAGCCATCCCTGGTGGACAGGGAAGCAGCTCTCTTGTCCTCCCGCGCTATGCTGTGTGGAGCGTTGCCATGGTAATGCATTGATGCAGACAGCCAGCCTATGGCCATGTGCCCACAGAGAGGGCCCGGCGTGCCACCTTTGGCACGCGTGCCATAGGTTCGCCATCACTGACCTATAGCTAGCTTACAAGTCTATTTTTGATGTTCGGGCCTTGAACAAAGCTAAGTTTCACTACAACTACGGACTTAGAATTAAAGGGACACTATGGTCACCAGAACAACTACAGCTTATTGTATTTGTTCTGGTGAGTAGAATCATTCTGTTCAGGCTTTTTGCTGTAAGCACTGACTTTTCAGAGAAAATGCAGTCTTTACATTACAGCCTAGTGATAACTTCACTGGCCACTCCTTAGATGGCTGTTAGAGATCCTTCCTGGGTCATGGCTGCCTAAAATGCATCCAAACATTCAGTGTCTCCCCCCTCTGCATGCAGACACTGAACTTTCCTCATAGAGATACATTGATTCAATTCATCTCTATGAGGAGATGCTGATTGGCCAGGGCTGTGTTTGAATTGTGCTGGCTCTGCCCCTGATCTGCCTCCTTGTCAGTCTCAGCCAATCCTATGGGGAAGCACTGTGATTGGATCAGACCACCACTTCTGCTGATGTCAGCAGGCAGTGTGTGGCGAACGTGACTTCGTCACCAGTTTTTGGAGGGGCCTGTTTGCCAGCCTCTTGCCATTTGACTATGGCCTCTGGGGGTATTGCCACTTAAAAACCCTATTTGGGCTTATGGGATTTTAATACCCTCGTTCTGCCCCTTTAAATACTCTGGGGAAAGGATCTTCACTTTTGCTATGGCACTTCGGATGCAGCCGAAGTAGTCGAAGTGGCCGCCATTCGACAAACGAACACGTGGTGGCGGCCATTTTAATTTAGCGAATGCGGTCAGCGGTGTTTTGTCATCGAGTTCATGGAACTAAATCGGATACTCAACGGCACGAACACCGCTGAAGTTTTACCTTCTTTTGGAACTCTCACACTTTGAATGGCGTTCGACAATTCGAACGCCACATTTACATTGCAGATCTACACGAACGACCCCGTTCGTGCATTCAAACGGTAGTTGAACTGTAGTGAATGGACCTACCGCCCAGCCAAAATCTATGGAACTGTTTTGGGCAGGAAAGCCATGCTGCGGACGGTCAAATAAGACTTCCAGCTAACTCCCGAACGGCTAGACGGATTCGCATGATTTTTGAGTATGTTTGTTTCCTCATTATGCTGTTTCTGAAAATGTAGTTTTATGCGAATGTGATGTATAATTTTGAAGTTATGAAAAATTTGTAAAATTTTATATTTTCTGCCTGTGATAATTAGGTTGTATAATCAGAGCTGGAAGTGCACTCAGCCCCTCACAGAGAAATCCAGGGTGCTCTTGAGAAGTCCCAGTACCCAAAAGGACCAAAGTAGATAAATTTGTATAAAATGATCAAGGCACTCCAATAGTTTCCAATTCTTAAGGCAATTTATTTGGACCAGGAACTACAAAGCAACGTTTCAGCCCCAACAGGGCTTTTTTCAAGCTAATGTAGCACATACAAAAACACAATATATAGGGTGTATACAATATTTAAATAAGTGAAAAAACATGTGATATATTATCAAACATATGTTATAAACAGGTGATAATAATAACATTAATTAAACAATTAATTCGCTCTCCAATAGTAGTCATAGTATCAGGGGGTGTCAAAGAGATCATAAGGTATCAACCAATCATATCACAAAATCACCATTAGACTTTAATCAATTTAGTGATATAACAACTGTGTTCACTAATGTCTTTTTACCTTGTAATACAGCAAGAGATTTTAAACAGCTACATTTCCGGGTGAAATCACATGATAATAACCATGTGACACCAACTAGCCAATTGTAGTATATTAATCACATGCTCATAAGATTGCTCCATAGGCTAATAATAATAATAATAAGCCAAAAAACACATAATAATCAAAGGCTAATGACTATATAATAGTCATATATTCGTAATTCTTTATTATCTATTCAAAAAATGTCGGCTCACCATCAAATGTTATATGCCGACGTAAGCCGCCCCACATAGTGCGCATGTGCAGAGATGCGCGAGCGTCAAAGGGGCAAAGCCATCAACGCATGCTCACCAAACCGGCACTCGACGCATGCGCGCCAAGTCGCCAGTGTGCGCATGCGCGTCAGTACGAACTTACGATTTACCTAACCCGGAGCAAAATAAAGCCAGATAGAAATACAACATTGTAGCAACATGTAGCAAAGCATTACATGGCTGATACACAATAAGATCTCAAGGGCAACCCCATACATTGTGATAATTAGGTTGGCCCATTGTGTTTAGTAATTATATCACAGGCAGAGGGGAGGGCTTGCTGACTGTATGTGGGAGTGTTTCGGTGTTAATTATTGTTTCTATTGGCTGTTGTAACTTTATGTCCTGTGTACCACAAGGTCCACATGGGTGGTAACCTTGTGGGAAAAACTGTATATAAGAAGCAATAGAGCCTCAGTGCATTCTGTTACTGCTTACACTCCAAAACTGTGTGTCGTCTTGTTATTGGAGGGAAAGAAGATTTGTTCCTGTGTCTGCTGTTCCAGCTTGCAGGAAATTCAACGGGGAAAGTCCTTGTAAGGACTAGAGCTAATTCCCCATTTGGCTCCAGGGAAGGAGCGGTTCCAGGGACCCAGTCCAGCCACAGTGACTGTGGGCAGAAGTGCTGCGGTTTGTCCCCTGTTCCAGCTAGGAAGCGGTCCTTTGGCGGAGGTACCCAGTCGGGGTACAGGGAGCTCCGCTACACAGTGGGCAGGTCTAAAGGAAACAGTGACAAAATAAGAAGCTCCAGACTTGAATACATGTAAGAATTTACTATATTTAGGGAGGCATGAGGGGACCAGGGTGGCTAGATGGTGGTTTTAACCCTATAGGGTCAGGAATACAAGTTTGTGTTCCTGACCCTATAGTGCTCCTTTAACACTTAGAATTAATTATATTAACTACCCAGTTCTAAATCACACATAACTATGCAGTTATGATCATAGGGAGAAACACAGGAAACAAGGCCAATGGCACAAACATACAGGATATAAAATCTGTTACACAATGTTCCATAGCTCTTGTCTAGGGGTATATTCACTAAGTATTGTATATAGATAAAGTATATTATTTCAAATAGCTGACACGCTCCAAGTTAGCCAATTTTAAACAGACTGCACATCCGGTTATCTGTAGCTTGAGCCTTGGGTCAATATAGGCAAAGTGTATTATTCCCAACAACCGTATTATTGATATAAACTCCAACTGTGTGGACAGAATTTATCTCAGCGACTTGAGACAAACAAAGTGTTTGCCAAACCTTACCTTTAGCTATATATAAAGAGGAGGCCATAAGTGGTTTGGTTACTTACCTGGGACAGCACCAGGAAACTCCTGGAACAACCAGCCAAAGTGGTTTTAAAGCTGAGACAGACCCTTTAGCACTGTCTGCCTGAAACTGGTGTGCACGTAGCATTTGCATGACAGTGATGAATTGGCAGAGGAGCCAGGGAGAGCATTTTATTACATGACAGGAGGCTTCATATTTTGCTATTTGCTCTCTTTACTGAACTCCAGCAGCACAGATTTTAACAATAAAGTTTAACCAAATTTAAAAAAAGAAAAAAAAAATGTAAGCGGGTATAAATGGCCCTCACCACTCTAACTCCTCCTCTTTCTTTGCTGCTCCTGCTGCACAGGGTATTTTGTCCTTGTGATTTCTTACTATATCTTTCTGACTTCTATATATCACCTGTCTAGCCACCTTTTAGTGCCCTTTCTGTGACATTCCTACCTGTGTCTCTTATTTCTATAAAAAATACACAGGTCTGGGACTCTGATGACCTGGTTTTATGTTGCAATCGCGCTATTTGATGCTGGTATGTATCCTATCCAGGGAAACTTGGGTAGGGTGCTGTGGGTGGAGGGGGCACAGAGCACACTGTCTGTTTTCTCTAGCGGGGCCATAACTGCAAGGTCCCTTTGGAAAGAACAATGGTCATCTTGGATCTCACAAAACTTCGCAAGATCCTCGGCAGCCATGTTAGTGTATTCAGATTGTGATTCACATGGTCTGAAATGGGACTGCGTTGTTTTTTTTTCTCCTACTATGACTGTTCATCCATACATTTATCTACTATTAGTCGTCTATTATAACATAATAAAACACTGTTATATTGAAATACTCCTGCAAGTCAGATGCTGCCCTTATTATTGATTGTGTGGATCACCAACTATCTAAAAGAGAAAATGACCAATCCCCTTGTTCTCAATCCCACAAGAGAACTGTGGGTCACCTTATGGGACGTGCAGCGTACTCCCAGATGCCCAATCCGGAGGAGTTCCACCCGGTATTTCCTAGGAACTACCAATTGGCGCTTCTGGGAAGGGGATGTCCCTTTACCGTGGGTTTCAGTGAGTATATAGAGTCCATCCTGCTCCCAGGTAAACCTTTCACCCTCTAATCTCTAATATGTAACATGTGGTCTTCCCAGGTCTCCCTCCCAAACTCCTCTGGGGTATCCCAAGCTAACATGGACGAGTCTAGAGTCTCAGTCGGTGGTTGGTCTCTTACCTGGGTTTCCTTGGCAGGGGAGCTGTCTTCCGCAGACCTAGCTTGTAGACGGGTTGTTACAGGATGGGTTTCGGCAGGTTCCCTGGGGACATAGACAGACGTTAAGGGACCCAAGTCATTCCCCAGTAAAACCTCGGCTTGCAAGTTTTTCATGATTTTCACGTTTACTGTGCCGGATCTGGCTCCCCAATTGAGGTGAACGTGGGCAGTAGTAGAAGAAGAATAGCTCCCACAGCCACCCGGATAGCCACGGTTTGTCCGGTGTGCTCTTTGTCCTGTACCAAGTGGCACTGTACTAAGGTCAGGGTAGCCCCAGTATCTCGTAATCCACAAGCCGACTGGCCTTTTACCAGCACAATTTGGCAGTGGTGCTGCCAGTTGTCCTGCACGCACAGTGTCAGCCTCATGAAATACTTCCCAATACTTCTCTGGGTTGGCCTTGGTTTCCAAGCAGTGAGTGGCCAGGGTTGGGGCACGCGGGTGGTGCAGTGTTGGGGCGGACCCACAAGGATCTGGAGGGTTCTAAGGGACAATTGTTTCGAACATGCCTCCACTGCTGACATCTGTGACACCGAAGCCCGGATCTTGGCAGGCGGTTTGATGTCTAGGTGGTCCCCAGTGAGGTGCTGGGCCAGGGGGCACCGGAGCCCAAAATTCAGGGCGAGGAGTAGGTCTTATTGGGGTTTGCTCAATTTTTCTAGAGTCAGTGTATTCGTCGGTTAGACGAGCAGCTTCAGGTAAGATGAGAGGTCTCCAATCACAAATCCATTCCCGTAGTTCAGGTTGGAGTGAATTTAAAAAATGTTCTAAGAGAAACAATTGTAACACATCCTCCCCCGACACAGCTTGGCACCTGTTGATTCAGTGGGATGCCGTTCTGTGGAGGCGGCAGGCCCACTTCTGGATTCGGAGTGTTTCGATCGATCTCCCATTCTGGATTCGGAGTGTTTCAAGTCTGATTTTATATTACTGATTTTGTTTGTATTGCCTTGCTTCTTGGATTCCCGGAATCGTCTGTGGTACGCCTCAGGGGTGACTGCGTACCAGGCGAGCAAGGCTTCCTTAACCGTAGGATAGTGGTGAATCTCATCGTCGGGTATAGCTCTAAATGCTTCGGCAGCTCTACCCGACAACTTTCCAGCTAAACTGGTGACCCATTGGTCGGTGGGTACCTTGTGTGACACACATTGTCTCTCGAAGTCAGCGAGGTAGCCATCTATTTCCTCCTCCGTCTCTTGGAAACTCTTAAAGGCTGCGAACGGTACCTTTTTCCGCTCCATTGGGATTGTGTGGCTTTTTTCCACGGCTGGGCTTTCTGATCGCTGTATCTCCGCCAAGCATAGCTGATAATATCGCTTCTCCCGGATCTCAGCATCAGCGGCAGCCATCACCTGTCATTATGTCCGCAGGAGGGTTTGGCCCATACAATGCTAACCTCAACCAAACGGACCTCAGCAAGTTGTCCTCTGCATTCTAAACCACACCATCAAGTCATGTCCACCCCTCTGGCAAGATGGGTTCACTGGCTGTTGTCTGTGGCGGATGCAGATACTTGTGTTGGCGCCCGCAGCATTTTTTCCGGTGGGTGCTTCACTTACCGACATCCTATGGTCTGCAGACTGGACTAGAGAAAGTACATTCCGTGTCTTTTATCTCTGTCAGGTGTCTCGTGCTTCTTTTGCTTTTCTTCCACAGCATTAAAAATGCAAAATATCAAGCCTCCTGTCATGTTACAAAATTGGGGTTATGCTAATACAGTGAACCTACAATCTTTATTTTTTTAATGACAAGAGGCGAATATTTTTCCACTCTTCTTTTCTCCCCTCTCTGTTGTATTTGGATGGTGTTAATTCAATAAAGATTGGAGGGGGGCGTGGTTTATTGTGTTTATTTCGGTACTATTATAAAATGTTTAACTGTATTGATATATTGATTAGTAATATTAAGTAATTGGCATACTTAGATGTATGTTTACAACTGGCCATTTCCAGATCTTTCACATATTTTTGTTTCGTTTCAGTTTGATTCACCTTAGATGGTCAGTTCAGTGGATCAATCTCCCATTCTGGATTCGGAGTGTTTCAAGTCTGATTTTATATTACTGTTTTTGTTTGTATTCTCTGTATATATTTCTTGTTAAAGGACACTGTAGGCACCCAGACCACTTCAGCTAATTGAAGTAGTCTGGGTGCTGTAAACCTTGTGCACTTAGTGCTGCAATGTCAAACATTGCAGTTCCAGTGTTGGCTGAGCCTGAACCAGGGACATTGGCGCTGGATTCAAGTAAGTGGGCGAAAAGGTTTTAACCCCTTCAGCCCCATGGGATGGAGCACTCCAGGAGCCTTTAGTGCCAGGAACACGGGTTTGTTTTCCTGGCACTATAGGATCCCTTTAACTCACATCAAAGTAACCATCCCCCTCCAGCCTGGGATCGTCTGTGCATAAAAGCTGTACCAAGAAAGTATTGTTTGTGTTGTACCTCCAGAACTGTGTGTCATCGAGTTACAGGGGGGGAATGAGTCTCTTGATGTTCTGAAATGGTTCCTGAATGGCTGAAGAAAGGGAATTAGCGGAGGTAATCGGTCGCATTACCCAGAGTCCGCTAACCCCCCCCTTCCATGTGTCTCTCCCTTGCTGTACATACTCTCGTTCATGTCGCGTGGCCAAGCTGATCGTGGCACCCAGTCTGACAGGAAGTACTCAGTTAGTAAGCACTTCCTATCAGACCAGGCGGAGGGAAACAGCGGTCCATTCAGCCTTTCTTCTTTTTGTGACCAGCAGGAGGTAAGAGGCAGAGTGCTTACCTCCTGCTGGTCAACAAGTGAGGGCGATCCGTGGTAAGTGCAGCCACAAACTGGCCCTGAAGTGATGGTGGCCCACAGTTGCAGCTGGGACCATGGTAGTTACGTCACAAACAGGGTAAAGCTCAATTAAGTAGGACATTCTTCACCGCTCAACTACGTTTTATTCTGTTTGTTAATCACTTGTCAAATAGCTCCATTTTAAAATTGTAAAGAGCTGTAGAAAATGTTGGCATATATAAATGAACAAAATAATGAAAAAAGGGAGAATTGTAAAGAATTCCGTGAACTTTAAATTCAAGGCCAAAATTGCGGAACTGGAAGCAAAGCTGAAATGGATATTTTTTTTCTCCATTTTAGGCTTAAAGGAGCAGTCAATTCTTTTCTTTCGGTTTTCCTTTCTTTATAACATATGTATCTTAAAGGGACACAATAGTCATCAGAACTACAGCTTAATATACGGTATACAGCTCAATGTATACCTAGGGACACCTCCAGTGGCCACTCCTCAAATGACCCCTGGAGATGCTTCCTGGGACAGTGCTGTAATCAACGTCTCCATGCTTTGCATGTAGGTGCTGAATATTCCTCAAAGAGATATTCCTCAAAGGAATTCATTCATTGAATCGACGTATCTCTAAAAAGGAGGTGCGGATTGGTCAAGCCGGTGTTTAGACCCACCCCATGCCTGTTTCAGCCAATCGCATTGAATTGGCTAAAAATGGTAAATTCTGATGTCGGCAAGGAGGCGGATCAGGGCCGGGCCAGCACCGGTGGTCCCGCACAGCCTTGAATAAGGTACGTTTTATTACCTTTTAGGGGAAAGCCACCTAAATGGCTGTATTAACACTATAGAGTCAGGAATTCATGTTTGTGTTCCTTTAATTATACTCCCTCTATAGCCACTTGGCTTTATTTCACATGTAGTATCTTTTCTCCCATGTGGCAGATCTCAATATCTAGGTGCAACCATTTTGTTCTCCTCTACCCATGTCTGCTCGGTTTACCCTTATGTGGGATTAAAGGGACACCATAAGCACCCAGACGTTCAGCGAATTGTAGTATTCTGGGTGCTGTGTCCATTTACACAGATAAACTGCAATGTTTACCATACAGACACTAGAGGGCTTCCTGTATTGAAACGGACCTTTGGTCCAGTATCTGACACTGGACGTCCTCGCGCTCTACATGAGGACCTTCAGCGTCAGATTTTCCACCATAGGAAAGCATTGATTAATGCTTTCATACGGGAAAATCCTAACGTGCATTAGGCCCCCCCCTGCCGGCATGGGCGCTAGGTCCTGGTAAGTGACTGAATGGGTTTTAACCCCTTTAGTGCCGAGGGAGAAGGGCACTGTAGGAAACTATAGTGTCAGGAAAACAGCTTTGTTTTCCTGGAACTATAGAATCTCTTTAATCTTACTGATGGATTGTGGGTTCGAAAAGCAACCTTCCCTTAAAGTCCACCCATTGTCAGCTTTTATTTTAACAGCTCTATTCAGACACACGGAGCAGCGAACATGTTGAAGCAGATTAGACATTTTAAATTGGTTTTACATTTCAAATTCACTTCTAGTGATAACCCTGCAAGTGAAGTGCTTACTGTTCATTTTAGAACAATCAGTAACACACTAAAGAAAAAAAATACTCCCATTCACTAATTATACTTTTATATAAAAACACAGAATTCAACATTTTACAGGTCTTAAAATGTAAGATTAAGTTGGAGTTTACCTAAGAGAAAAATACTGTGACATGTGTATATACACCCAAACCAAGCAATATATGGCATGCACGGTTAATCTAGGGCTGGAGTAGTTGTAAATAAGGGCTTCATTTAAACTCATAGGTCTATCGGATGAAGAGTTTCATTAGCTGTGTACCATCAGTTTATAATAAGTTTATTGACAGAGGGTTCAAACAGCAGGATGAGTGCTTAATCCACAGCCTCCAGTCCACGCAGTCAGATCATTCCATGTACCGTAAACACTCAAATAATGAATTATTCTCCCCGAGTATTTCCATGGACATGCATTGTCTGGACATACCTACAGGTTCTTCAATAAATATTACACAGAAATTATAGCCATTTCCTGTCAATCCCAGTATATGTTACAGCTCTCCACCAGGCTGCGCTAGAAATCTATTAAATGCAGAGAACAGGATTAAAACAAAAACAAAATCCTAAAAATCACATTCCAGAAAACATGGTTTTTCTTCTGATAAACCCAGATTCTAATTCCTATTTCAAGCCATTCTCCAGATAGTACAATGTTTAAACTCCTGGCAAAGCTATAGCTTGATTGTACTTCGTATATAAAGCCTTCTAGCTGAAATAACGGCTATCTAACCATGCCTGAGAGGGGGGATGTTATAGCAGTTATAAGCACACCATTGGCAGACTAGTGGTGTGTAATAGTTCAGCTAGTTTTCCTAATTAGTGGCGTATCTATTTGGTGAGACATTGTGCTCTCCCAGAATGCAATGCACATGGATTATGCTTAATTGCCAAAAACACCACACACTTTGCCTTTGTTCTGGACTCTGCTAGTGTATCTAGAAGTTCGTTTCCTTACATAAACAAGCCCTTGCTATCCACTCTACACATTAATGAATGATCAAACTATTTTAGAAGGAACTCCCGCACAATGATGCAGAATAAAATAAATCATTGTAAAAGTGTTGGCGCCTTCGTTTCAAACCGTCACAAGATTTACAATTTAATAAATGTAGTTCAGTAACGCAGTCCTATTGGTTGGTTCTTGACTTGCTGTACATTAAGGTGTAGTTTTGCATAATGTATACCGAACCAAGAAATTGATCAAACTTAGAAAGCTCTCCCATAGCAAAGAATAGATGGCATTACAGAGAAATGAGAGAGACTGCTTTAGCGGAGTCCATTACAAGGCAGGAGAACATCATTGAGTCAACTGCTACAAAGTGCAACCAATTAAAGACCCAAGACTGGGCTTTGTATCCTTTGAATATACAATATTTTCAAATTTGCTAGGGGAAGATTAGATTTATTAAACGTACTGAGAAATGACAATAGTAAACTTTAAAAAAGATAGAATATACTTAGACCACACAAACCAAGTCACCATCCGACAAAACTGTGCCAGATTACACATGAATTTATGACAAATGCCCATGGTGGATCTGCCGGGGAGGGGATACACATTTCCTGGATGTAAGGATGTATTTGAAAGTTTTCAAAAAATGTAAACCTCTTTTTTCATGTGATTTCACCAGCCTACAGAGAAATTAGAGTGTAGGCAACGTCTTCATCTCATTAAAGTGGCTATAGTGTCGAGTCCCATAGCATCCTTCCATTCAGCGTCAGTTTGAAATGCTAAACTAAAGGCCCCAGCAACGCATTCCTCTGTGCTGCCTGAACTAACAAGGAAGCATTAGCTTAACCCCTTAAGGACACATGACATGTGTGACATGTCATGATTCCCTTTTATTCCAGAAGTTTGGTCCTTAAGGGGTTGAGCAGCTGTGATTGGTTGAGTGTCATCTGACTGCTTTCAGCCTATTACAGAACTATTGCTTGTATGAACTGCTATGGCTACAAGGAAGTGTGTGATCTCCTTAATCACACCTCCAGTGGAGGAGGAGCTATGGGAAGCCAGAGACGTTCATTGCTTAAAACGGGTTCAACACAGAACGGAGGAACAGCACCAGGCACTGTAACCACTTCAATTAAATGGTTACAGTGCCCACCATGTTCCTGTAATAAGAGGAGAACTAAGTGGGGATTTTAGGGATAAGTGTCCTGGTTTTCCCTTTCTCCAGAAGCTTTACTAACTTTTTATCATGCAGGATTTTATTTTCAGACCCCTCACTAGAAATGCCCTATCTTTATGCTTTTAAGTGCTATGGAGCTATGCAACATTTACCTTTGAAAGGGATAATCACAGAGTTATTCAATAAACCGCTCAATATGGACAACTAAAAAGGAGTGTTTCCAATTTTAGGACAAAATGTGTAATCCCTGGTCAAGTCTGCCAAATGTCAGCTTTAACGAACAGTCTCCAAAAAAAGAAGGTAACATTTTTATAGGAAGTTTCAGTTTTTAATGAATTCTGTAATAGTTAATTTTAACGAACGTTTCATTGTATTTACGGATTCCTGGATATACATTGAGAATTTTACAGCCAATCTAATCAGCATAGTAGCCACCTTCTATGGGCCAATATCAAATCATGGCATAAACAGAACTTGCGGTCTTCCAGGAGACAAAAATATACATTGGGTTCTGCTCTGCAATACTATTAGGAGGGTTTTTTTTTTTTTTAAAGTAAACAGAAAATGCAGTTTGCTGGAGTGAGTGCTGCGCAGACTGTTCACCAAATCCCTGTAACTAACACAACTTTATCTTCTTGCCAAAGCTGAGAATTTAGCCACCTTCCCTTGAAAGACAAAAACCGCCAGCTTATAAAAAGAGGGGTAGGTGACCACAAACTCCCCTCAAACTGGCTCCAACTGATGTAAACTCACCGTACCGCTTCAGGGGGGGAACACGGACCAAGGACAGGAGACCCAACAAGTCGTGCCAATGTACAGTGCGTCAAATCAGAGCTTTCAAAATGGTATCTACACAAACTAATCTCTGAAGCGCATGTCACACAGGGTAACAAACACGTAGTGAACTCAGAGTCTTATTTAACAGGGATGTTTTAGAGGAAACCTAAAGGCCAAAAGCAACTTACCTGCCAGTATATTACATGTATAACTCAAAAACCAGACAGGACAAGAGACTAATGTGAAAAATTAAAAGGAAATCTACAGAGAGCTATATACAGACCCTGGAAAAAGTGACAAACATTGCCAGCAGGGTGTTTTAGGCTTAACTCTATAATATTTGCTGCAGCCACAGTGCTAGTGAACGTCAAGTCATGATGGAAGCAGACTGTTTAAAGGTGGACTGCAGAGTCTAACCATTCGTACATTACTCCTGATGTAAACTCACTGCCTCCGTGGCTTCTGTGTCTGAATGTTCTGAATGTTGTGGACACGAATGTGAGCCAGCAGAGTCTCTTTCTTGTTGAAACTTCGTTCGCACTGGCTGCACGGGAAGGGCTTGTCGGGAGCATGGATAGCCTGGTGTGACACCAGCTGTGTCTTCAGGAAGAAGCTCTCACTGCACTGTGTGCACTTGAAGGGCTTTGTGTCTGTGTGCACGCCTTCGTGGGTAGTGAGCAGTGACTTGTCATTGAAGCTTTTTTCACAGTGCTTGCATTTGTAGGGCTTTGGCTTTAAGTGGCTCTCTTCGTGGACAACCAGAGTGGTGCGGTTAGGGAACCATTTGTTGCAGTGGCTGCATTTGTGAGGTTTCTCCCCTGTGTGAGTTCTCTTGTGGGCAATCAGAAGCGACTGGTCATTAAAGTTTTTGTCACACTGGTCACATTGAAAGGGCTTGCCTTCTTTGTGGGTGTTGTTGTGGGCAGCAAGCAAGGATGGTTTGGAGAAGCTCTCATCACACATGGTGCAGGGGTAGGCCTGTTTACCTGTGTGTATCCTGTGGTGAGCTTCAAGGATGGACTGGTCATTAAACCTCTTATCACAGTAAGCACATTTAAGAGGCTTTTCCCCTAGTGAGGGACTGCCACGTTCACCAGAACTTTCACTGAGAATTCTGTTAGTCTGGACAGGTCTGGGAGTAACTGTCACAAGGCCAGTGGATGCTGGTGGTATGTTTGTAGCTAGGACAGGGGATCCGTTGGGTGTTGGCACTGGAGATCTGTTAGGTTTAATGAATTCTACTGGAGTTATGTTTTCCACGTTTTGAAAGCTGCTGGTTGAAGGATGGTAATGCTGTCTGCGGTGAACAATTAGTGCAGACTTGTATGAGAAGTTAGCATTGCATATATCACACTGGTGTGGTTTATCACCATTGTGTACTCGGCGGTGAGCTTCCAATGCCGAACTGTGCCGGAAACAGCTTTCACACTCTGAGCAGAAATACTGTCTGCGCTTTCTCAGGTTTCGACCATGGGCAGGAGGAGACTCATCCATATTGTTCTCATCATGGCTGCTTTCATCCCCATTCTGCTGTATGTACTGGTTTAATATAAGTTGTTTTGCCGTTTTATATGGGCCTTTCTTTGGAGCGACCACCTCCGTTCCATCTAAATTCATATAAATGGAGGCAAGATAAGATAGTGAAAAGAAATAAATTAAATCAAACAGACTGCATTAACTTAACAGAGTCCCTTTACTTTTTAAATATATACACTCACTTAATTTAAGCATTATACACAATTTATACACTCAACAATTTAAACATTAAACCACATTACTGTCTCACCCCAGGAGTTGTATTCAAAAAGACAAGAACTAGAACCGAGGGCTTATCTGCAAACTACAAATATTACAAACAGCAGTTTCCGCTGATACCATCCTGGACTGTACTGAAATATAGATATAAGGACTACGTACAGTAAGATAGTTCTTGATCATACTAAAACATGGCATAAATAATCGCATATCAGAGGTATTTTGCCCAGGACTCTTTTTTGATATCGTAGTAGACTTACAGGATGCGTATGTTAACCCTTTCCTACCTCAGAGCCAAGCAAACTGTCATTCCGCTTCAAAACAGAGAAGTCTTAAAGGGATACACATCATTGAGACATGTCACTGGGAGTTGGGAAACCGTTAAACTTAAATAGAAGGTTTCATTTAAACCAAACCCCAAATCTCGTTCTAACCATAATCCTAAATGTAATACGAACGAGGACCCAATCCCCTAGATTAACTAACTTACTCTAACAGTGTTAAAGGGAAATGCATCACTGAGAAAACTGTCTCATTCGAAAAGCTTAAAAGGGACACTATAGTCACCAGAACAAACACAGATTAACAGGCGGTACACAGATTAATGTATTTGTTCTGGTGAGTACAGTCAGTCCCAGCAGCCTTTCATTGTAAACACTAATTTTTCAGAGAAAAGGCAGTGTTTACATTACAGCCTAGGGATAACTACAGTGGCACTCACTCAGACAGCCACTAGAGGTGCTTCCTGGGTCAGTGCTGCACGACGTTCACAATCTCCACCCTCAGCACGGACACGAACATTTTCCAGAGAGATGCATTAATTCAATTTCTATGAGGAGATGCGGACTGGCTCAGCGTTTTGCCGCGCGTGTGCAACAGCCTATGGAAAGCATTGAATTGACTGAGATAGCAAATTCTAATGTTCTCCGTCAAGAAGGCAAAAGAGGAGCAGAGCCAGAGAGAGGGGGGGGGGAGGACTCTGACCAGAGAGAGAGAGGGACTCAGACCAGAGAGAGAGAGAGGGACACTCAGACCAGAGAGAGAGAGAGGGACTCAGACCAGAGAGAGAGAGAGAGGGGACCCAGACCAGAGAGAGAGAGAGAGGGACTCAGACCAGAGAGGGGCGGGGACTCAGACCAGAGAGAGAGAGAGAGAGAGAGAGGGGACACGGACTCAGACCAGAGAGAGGGAGGGGAAGAGACTCAGACCAGAGAGGGGGAGGCGGACGACTCAGACCAGAGAGAGGGGGCGGGAGACTCAGACCAGAGAGGGGGGGGGACTCAGACCAGAGAGAGGGGAGACCAGAGAGAGGGGACGGGGAGGGGACTCAGACCAGAGAGGGAGGGACTCAGACCAGAGAGGACACTCAGACCAGAGAGGGGGGACACCAGACCAGAGGGGGACGGGACGGGACACTCAGACCAGAGAGTTAGCTGGCTCCATGCTGCTGCACAATAATGCCCTGTTTCTGTCACTAACAGGCTGGCCTGAAACTGAGATGAGTGGGATTGATTTCTCTGGTTTTATTTTGGTTTGTATATTTATTTAAAAGTGTTTGCTTTCGGATTTAAATAATAATTGTAAAGTGAAGCAGGTCCGTTTAATACAGATTTCTTTTAAATTCGACATAGATGGGGAACACTAGACGATATCAGGAGCCACTCTGACATTTACGAGAGTGCTCCCCGTCATTGCACACATACCTGGAGTGTTCAGTGAGGAGGGCTGTGAGTCCGCACCACCGTTGCCTCTATCCTGCAGCAATGATAATATGACGGGCACCTCACAACCTAGCAACGTGAAACACAATAATTAGAGAATCATGCAACAACTTTTCAGGCTCCCAATAGAGAAGACATGACATATATACAAAGTTTATCCTGAAAGTACACTTGTTTTAGTTAAAGATACACATTTCTCATATTCAGTTAGTCTACCCTCACAAAACCTTTAATCATTCCTTCATATCAAGAGAAAAGGGCAGAGGAACAAAGCGTGGTTACTGCGAATTGGCCGTTGTAGTAGGGATAATGCATGATACTCCTTTTTGTTTCGAATATAAGTAAAAGGTGCTTTCCATAGGTCTGTCCCTGCACGCACACCATGTGTTTCATGTATTGGTAGGATTACACATTATATAATTAGGGTGAGCTGTGACATGGGCTGGATCTAAGTTACCAAAAACTGCACATTAAAGGGACACTATAGTAATAAAAACAAAAACTACTTTATCTTAATGAAGCAGTTTTGGTGTATAAATCATACTACTGCCGTCTCACTGCTCAATTCACTGTCATTTAGAAGTTAAATCACTTGTTTCTGTTTATGCAGCCCTAGCCACACCTCCCCTGGCAGTGACTGACATAGTCAGCATGAAAACAAAATACTTTCAAACAGATTGAACAAATTTTATACGATTTTTTAAATCTCCTGCTGTGTAAATTGAACTTTAATCACGTATAGGGAGTTCCCACGGGGTCTAGCAAGCTTTTAACAGAGGAGATACATTCTTAATTGAACAGAATTTGCAATAAATGAAGTGTAAACATTAGATGACTATTTACAGGACGTGTTTACTAAAGCTGTGTAAGTCACATGCAGGGACGCTATACACAAAAACGGCTTTATTAAGCTAAAGTTGTTTTGGTGACTATAGTGTCCCTTTACTGGTACTGACAGCGCCATGGTTAAGGGATGCTACACAGAAACTATAGGGGGATATATCTAACGTGCCCGTATAGCAACTAGTCGTGTCCTGATTGATGTGATAAACTGATCGACCAGTTTAAAAACAAATCAATAAAAGTTCTGTGCCAGAGGAATCTATTTAAGTGCAAGTCCAATAACTGCTTTCTGTATAATTGCTGAGACACATGCAGTCTGGAATAGCAAGAGATGCGACCCACAAAGCCCCTTTGTATAACCCATCGTAAATCTGCAAGAAACAGTAAGGAGAGAAGTGCTTATGGTGGGTACCGGTCAACTGAACGAGGTATCCCATAGTCTGCTCCATATCTTGGCTAAAAGTTAGTGGGGGAAAAAAAATGGCTTGCCTAAGAAAATGAAGTGCTCGTAGTTGTCTTTCATCACCTCCATGTAGAGTGCTCGCTGATAGTCATTCAACATATTCCACTCATCCTCCGAGAAAAACACAGCTACGTCATCGAAGGTCACAGGCCCCTGCAAGACAAAAAGCATTCAATTAACTTCCAGACAGCAATGGCTGACAAGCACTGGCCATTTCATAGATGCAGAGTGCAGATTAATGCAGCAACAGGTTTGTTTAGAACAGAATATGATATATTTGTGAGTGTACATGATGATAGCATGTGTCCATATACTACATCTCAAATTACCTATATACAAAAGGCATGGATAATCGAGGGATGACACCTGACTTTCTGCTACTGATTGTCATTGTAGCAGTGACATTCTTATCAAGATTACAACAAAATAATAAAAAGTGCAAATTGCGATTTATGGAGTGCTAATAAACATTCTACAAAGAGTAACAGGAGGTTGCTTCAGGTTCCAGAAAGAGATAAGAAATTCTAAATTAAAAACACTGCGTAAAAAAAGGAAGTTTAAAGGGACGTTGTAGGCACTCAGACCACTTCAGCTCATTGAAGTGATATGGTTGCAATATCCCATGTCCCTTAACTCTGCAATAGTAATTATTGCGGTTTTTGAGAAACGGCAATAATTACTATCCAGGGTTAACTCCACCTCCAGTGGCTGTCTACCAGACTGCCACTAGAGGGACTTCCTGGTTTGAAACGGACCTTTGGTCCGGTATATGACGGCATGAGGACTTCCAGCGTCAGATTTGTCCCCATAGGAGAGTATTGAATAAAGCTTTCCTAGGGGGAATACCTAATGCGCATTAGGTATCCCCCGCCAGCTGACACTGGTGCTGGATTCAGGTAAATGACTGAAGGGGTTTCAGCCCAGCGGGAGCACTGTAGGATTCTACAGTGCCAGGAAGACTTGTTTTCCTGGCACTATAGAACCCTTTTAAACATCTACAGAAAGTGTGTAGTGGAACTGTTTTGGTCATATGCAGGGAGGTGTGACTAGGGGTACATAAACAGTGATTTAACTCCTAAATGGTGAGAATTGAGTAGTGACACTGCAGGGGCACGATCTATACACCAAAACAGTTTCATTATCTAATTTTGTTTTAGTGCACCTTGAAGGGAGCGTAAAGACCATGACAATGCACCCCCAGGGTACATTGGTCTCCAGAGATCCCGCAAGTAATCGCCTACACTAGACAACCAGGGGTTGATCCCCTCCAGCAAAACGTAAGCAGGAGGGAACAAGTTAACCCGCTCCCAAATACAACACCAAGACTCCTCCACACACAAAATTCAGTTACACACACACAACCAGCAGCTCTCAGCAACCCCCACACTACACCCACTCTTACATACGAAACACTCAGTCACCACAGACACGCACACAATCACAGGCCAGGGCTCTAGGAAGGGATACTGGGCAATCAATCCAGCTATGGGTATCACCAAGGTGTCTGTTAGATAAAGGGAGATGCCACGTATCAACACATTTGATACAATCTATAGCCTAAATTATAGTTTTCCTGGGTGTTATTTTCTGTTATAGTAAAGCAGGCCATCTGAGCCTCCTGCCAGTGTTTTCTTTTTTGCCCCCAAATCAGTTCAGCTTTTTACAACAGCGGACAATTAAACTGCAACTCCTAGAAATTCTTACAGAAAGTACAGTAATCAGTTAGTTCCTGGTTTAGTGAGAGCTCACTGGAAACGCTGCACAGCCTGGGGTTTTGCAGCAAATTCATGCATTTCATACACAATGTTGAAAAAGTATGGTAGCAAGAAGATGGCAGGGCTCCTTAAGGTAAGTAATCACCATAACACAGGAGGCCATGTCACCATGTAAGATCCCAGAAGTGACAATCGCTTTCAAGCTGGGCTGACTGGCGGTATGGAATATCCCGTCTGCACTGTCAGTACAATATAGCACTAACATTTATAATCATAGCATGGGGATAACTGGTAAGGAGTGGGCATACAAATGGTTAACAGACAAGAGGTGAAGAAGAATGTCTGAGTTAACTACAGGCAGAGAGACCGCTTCATCTTATTGAAGTGGTCTGGGTGCAGTGACCTGTCCCATTATATTCTAACTGACTCACCATAGGGAAGCACTGGGGCAATGCTTTCTTAGGGGGAGGGACTAGTGCGCACACCGGATGACAAGAATGTGTGGAAATGGGGTATAAAAAAAAAATCAAGGGCTTTTCATCACTCAAGGGGGGCACGAGGGAGGGGGGGGGGGACCTGTATTCCTAAGACTATAGCATCCCTTTAATGTACTCCATCTGCTGGGACTTACTGCCAGTACAGAGTGCCTCCTCGTCTGGGGAAGGCAAGACTGCCAAGCACGGCAGCCCAGGGCCGGTTAGACTGCCAGCTCTGCAGCCCAGGGCCGGTTAGACTGCCAGCTCTGCAGCCCAGGGCCGGTTAGACTGCCAGCTCTGCAGCCCAGGGCCGGTTAGACTGCCAGCTCTGCAGCCCAGGGCCGGTTAGATTGCCAGCTCTGCAGCCCAGGGCCGGTTAGACTGCCAGCTCTGCAGCCCAGGGCCGGTTAGACTGCCAGCTCTGCAGCCCAGGGCCGGTTAGACTGCCAGCTCTGCAGCCCAGGGCCGGTTAGATTGCCGGCTCTGCAGCCCAGGCTGGTTAGACTGCCAGCTCCGCAGCCCAGGGCCGGTTAGATTGCCAGCTCTGCAGCCCAGGGCCGGTTAGATTGCCAGCTCTGCAGCCCAGGGCCGGTTAGATTGTTGGCTCTGCAGCCCAGGCCGGTTAGATTGCCGGCTCTGCAGCCCAGGCTGGTTAGATTGCCAGCTCTGCAGCCCAGTGCAGGTTAGATTGCCAGCTCTGCAGCCCAGGGCCGGTTAGACTGCCAGCTCTGCAGCCCAGGGCCGGTTAGATTGCCAGCTCTGCAGCCCAGTGCAGGTTAGATTGCCAGCTCTGCAGCCCAGTGCAGGTTAGATTGCTAGCTCCGCAGCCCAGGACCCCCATTTCACATACCTCGGGGCTCGGAGTGGCAGCCATCACGGACACCCCGTGTGACAGACTTGGGGTGCGGCTCAGGTTGGGGGGACCCGCCTGGCGGGAGAGAGACCCTCACACAGCGTGACGGGAACAAACACAAAATGGCCGCCGAGAGGAAGTGATGAGGAGGGGTTGGCCTTACGTCACGGAGGGGCGGGGACTGACGGCAATGTATCAGAGAGGAGGGGACTGTCCGTGACGTCACGGAGGGGCGGGGACTGACGGCACTGTATCAGAGAGGAGGGGACTGGCCGTGACGTCACGGAGGGGCGGGGACTAACGGCACTGTGTCAGAGAGGAGGGGACTGTCCGTGACGTCACGGAGGGGCGGGGACTAACGGCACAGTGTCAGAGAGGAGGGGACTGGCCGTGACGTCATGGAGGGGCGGGGACTGTAGTTATGGTGACAGATATAACCGTGGGGGGGGATGGATTCTATCAGTGAGTTTCCTGGCGCTGTGCGCGCGGGAGGGTTTAGTGTCTCTCCGCCCAGCAATGTCCGCCAGGTGGTACCGGCAGGGCCAGATTAAGAGCCCAGTGGGCCTGGTGCCGGGCCTAATTACAGAATCATATCGACCAAAAACACTAAAACATTCCCAAGCGTCATGTATCTGATGGAGATAGTGCTGGAGAGATAGAAAACAGCAGCTATAAGAAAACACATACCCTAGGCTAATCTCTCTCTAATTTATGTTTTCATCTTTCAAGTAAATCCATAACCCCTAACAGCACTGTCCAGTCAAGCAGGAAGGTAAAAGGGTGTGCCATTGACACAAATCACGTAACCTGCCAAAAGGGGCGAACATGCCCAAAAAGAGGGAATGTCTGCCCAAAGAATTAGAAGGTCAACCTGGCATGAATGCATGTCAGGCTGCCTGCCAATCATGCAGCTGGCCAACTAAGGGCATACTATGCAGACAACACCCTGAGCTTGGCATAAATGCGTCTAACGATGCGCTCACTCAACGCATTCTAAGGACTGTCCCCTAGCACTCACATGTCCACTTGTCTCCTTACCTTCTTACTAGCAGGCAGAAGTCAGGGCCGCCATCAGGGCATGACAACCGTAACGGTTGTCATGGGCCTGGGGGGCCCGGACTGCTCAGGTCGTCCGGGCCCCACATTCAGTGGGTACATACCGGGTCGCAGGGGGCCCTGCGACCCCGCTATGTACCCACTGGACCAGCCTCTTCTCCTGGGGGACCCAGCAGAGGATGGCCCTGCTGACACCCAGCGACGGGCGCGCAAGGGAGCACTCTCCTCTGAGTGCTTCCTCTTCAGCTCCCTCGCGCACCGTACTGATGCCAGAGCCGGAAGATGACGTCATCTTCCTGCGCCAGCATTAGTACGCGGCACGTGAGGGAGCTGAAGAAGAAGCACTCAGGCAGGGAGAGTGCTCCCTCACGCGACGGCCGGCTGTCGGGGGGAGAGGAAAGAAATTTAAGGAAGGGAGGTGGGGGGAGGAAATTTGAGGGAGGGGG